TAAACTTAAAGTAAATAATTGTAATATTTGACCATGTGCAGTGCATGTGCATTCCATCTAGTATAACTAAAACATATGACATAACTAACTATATAAAGTGTATCTACAATTACTCTGAGATATTAAATATTGACATCACAAGCATTTATTTGCAAGGCAACCAGCTAACATCCAACAATTTCCCCCATTACTCTAAATTAGAAGTATGGAAACCCTCATATAGTACTTGTCGTGCTTCCCCATTTAGTTTCCTTTCTTGACTCCATATTCCTCTCAGGATTCATGCTAATGAAATCGTCACTGTATTTGTGTTTCTTAAATTTGTGGAATGAAATTATATGCTAGTCTTTGTTAGTTAAATAGATCTTTTTTGTCATTTACCTTTATTATATAACTTTTTTTTCCTTCTCCTGAGAAGAATAATTCTTTTTGCTGCAAGTTTCATCTTATTAATGAAAATCAGCTCTCATTTACTCTTACCCTTTGGTTTGGTAAGTTTTGGTGGCTTTTATCCTACTGTATGGCCTGCACTGTTTTAATCTCTGATGGTAAGAGTTCTACTAGGCAGTCCAAAATAATAGAATTTAGTTTCTTATTTTTTCCATTTAAGCTTTGAAAACTTCATTCTAGTGGAAACTGGTGAATATGACATTATTGAAGTGTGAGAATTTAGTCTAGAATGTGAAAATACTATTATACTGTTCTAAGTTGTCTCTGCTCAAGTTAATTTATTCTGAAATGGATATGTAAATATTACTTGCCAAATGTATAGTTAGGGAAAGACACATGATTGCAGTTAGGTATTATCTAATATACTGTGGACCAAAATATATGGGTTATTTGTAAGATATCTTTCAATTACAGAGTTTTTGGGGTGCTTACTAGCCAAAAAGGGATATGGTTTGGGAGGGTGGAATATCTGAGTGAGACTAGTTATGGATTTGGATCTCTAAAAGTGCATCTTCTAAGCTTCTGTACGAGTTTTCCTTGTAATTCTCAGTGGCTTACTTTATTTGTCGGGTATTCGTTTGGTTTTACTAGTCTCATGATCACCACCACCACCATGGTTTCTTTTCCTCTGCTTCTATATTTTCTCCTTTTGTTCTGAAATGAGACGATCTGGTATGTTCTTTTTCTTTCAGAAACAATTATTGTATACATACTCAAAATGAATATTTTTCTCTTATGGAACCAAAGACATTCATGATCCATGAGCTTGCTCATCCCAAATTAACAACCCACTGCATTATCTACGTGCCTTGAAACATGTACTTTAAGAACTTCTAAGTCATGAATGACGAAGTTTATTCAGCTGTAGCGTCCAAAAATGGTTCATTTTTCAACCATTTGATACATGGACAAACGATTTCTGAAGTGCAAGATAAGTACCAATTTATCCTAGATCTGGATCTGATGGATAGTAATATTTGTACAATTTTCAACTATGATATAATTTTGTCCTTGAAGAAAATTAATTGGGATGCCATCAGCTAAAAGAAATTGTCAAGATTACACTGTCTTCCAAGCGATTAGGCGCGGTTTCCCGTGAGGTAAAATTTGAAACTATGTAAAAATAAATCAAATTGGGAAAAGAATAAATTGTGGGAACTCCTATATTTTATGCTATCGCACTTTAATATCAACTCTGCAGCTGAAAATCAAATTGGCCTTAACTTGTTGATCCCACAATTTGTACACTTAAGCTCTCACTAGTTCTACATTCCTATTTCACCTTGCCTATGAATCGTCTTGAATCCTACTAACGACCTTTTACTGTGGGTTTCCCTCCATATTTTATTAAATAATAGCTCTTGCCAATAAGCCTTGGGTTAGCAATAAAATGTCCTTAAGAGTAACCACAGTTCCTGTACTTCTAATGGCATGCCTTAAACTCTGTCAAATGTACTGACTGAAGTCTTCTTTTTGCTCATTCTGAAAGGAAACAGTTGATAATCTTCTAATAACCTTTTACTATGTGTTTTTCCTCCTGATTTTATTCAATAATAGTTTTCCATTAAGCCTTGAGTTAGCAATAATAGCTCCTTAAGAATAGCCACAGTTCCTGTACTGACTTCTAATGGTGCGTCTTAAACCTCTGTGAAATGTATCAACCGAAGTCTTCTTTTGGCTCGTTCTGAAAGGAACCGGTTGACTCTTTTTCAAATCTTTCGCTGTGTCGTATCGTAAAGAGCATGTTTACGTGTGGCCATTCTTTCCCTTGGCTGAATTCGCTTGTCGAAACTCGCCTATTTCTTGTTCCCATGTAGTTTTGTTGTCATTTTTATGGTCTCCCACCTGAAATAAATTGCAGAATGGACCCACTTCCTGACGATATGCCAAATAATTTGACTATGATTATGTTATCTTGAGGTATCTCAAGATTTAATTTAAAGCAGTTGCTAAGTGGCAACTCTATGCAGACACTCTGATAATCCCCCCCCCCCCCCCCCCCTCGTTGGGATGAGTTGCACCATTTGTAGCAAGGTCCATTTTATCAGAAACTGGACCTGAAAGAAACCATCGTTAACATATTAGTTGTATGGTCTCTCATCGTTAACATATCAGAACCTGGACCTGAAAGAATTCCAGGACACTTGTTCTTCTTATAAGTCTCTCATCATCTCGTGCATGTTCAAACTTCTGTGGAATCCACAGTTAAGCTCTCATGTATCAAGTACTTTTTTCTCTTCTATGCAACATCTTGATGTCTGCTCGACGTTTAAGGTTCTTCAATTTTAGTTAATTATGGGCACTGGTTATTGCTATCAGTAGATTCTAGGTTCAATATATTATGTCTCATTCGGTTTCTACCTTTGCATGTGTTGCTATTTCTTTTCAACTTTAGCCATTCCTAAGCTAGTTGTCATCCTAAAGTTCCTTTTCTACTTCAATGGTTATGTAGCATGTTTCTTGACTGCCTTGTCGAATCATTCTCACTGAATAATAGTTCAGCAAATTCTGTCTTTTCTGTGCAGTTGCTCAACTAACAACCAAAATTAAGCATCTGTCATCAGTTTTACACAAGAAGGTATAAATTCTTGTATTATTATTTCACGAATTATTTTCTTTAATGTTATCTTTATACTTCTATTAACGATGAGTTTCACACTTTTCGTTGGCAGGACAAGCATTCCCGAAAAGGGCTGAGTGAGATGGTCCAGAGAAGGAAGAAACTCCTCAAGTACCTCCGAAGAACAGACTGGGACTCTTACTGCTTTGTGCTGTCAAAATTAGGTCTAAGAGATGTCCCTGAGTACAAGGTTCCTGATTACAAGTGCTGATGATTTTATCTTCAACTCTCGATCGATAGATGGTGCTCCTTTGGGAATTTTGGTAGGCAGAATACATGGCCTCCCAAAGTTCTATATGATCCACATTCTGAGGAAGTATTCATCACACAGCGGAATGCCCGTGGAGACAGCAGATTATGTTTCGACCTGCTCTATCTATAAAATGTTCCCCGTACAAGAGGTTGATGAGTGTAATTTTTTCAATCTTTCGTGTTATTGGTTTAAGGTGTAGGCATCTGTAGGAATGATAACTACAGTTTATCTGCAATCACAGCTGTTGTCAGTTCCAATTTTGCTGATTGGTAGACGGTAAAATCTGTTTATGCTTACGAGTTTTAGTGATTTATATTTGGTTACGATGCCTTCCGGACTATTTTTGAGAGCGTACGTGATGCTCGGGTTGTTCTGTGTGCTGAATGAGTTTTAATCTGATTAACTAGACAGGTTTGTTTGGCTACCAAGGTGTTTTTGTTGTGTTTTTCTAGAAAAACACATTGGTGTTTGGTTTTTTCTCCAAAGTTGTTTTGAAAACGCCCTTGTGGTTTTGATAATCAGAACATGAGAAATATTTGCAATAGTTGATAATCAGAACATGAGAGGAGCCATTAAATTCTAAAACAATTCATATATTCAGCAAAAAAAAAAAAAATAATCAGACCAGGCAAAAATAACGCTTACAGTGCGTTGAGATGACCGGCGACGGGATCTACAGGAGACGGCAACGAGATCCGGAAGCGACGGCGACGGCGGAAGTCAGATCGAGCTGCGCGACGACCACGAGACGTGACGAGCAGGCATCAATCTGAAGCATTGGCGACACCACGACGTGTGATATGCTGCTGCAAGGCCGTCGACGTGACGAGGATTTGGGATTGGACCGACGCGACTCGCCTGAGCGCGAACACTGCTCTGGAGCCGCGGACGCCTGGATCGACGAAGAGTGTGGTTTTGCACGACGAGGGGTTTAGCACCACCGCAACGGAATCGACGAACACGACGAACGGAATCGGCGACCACGACGAACGGAATCGGCGAAGACGATGTGGGTTTTGGGCGATGATGATTTGGGGAAATGAAAACAGCGGCCCTTAAACACCTCTTCGTTGTTTTCAGAAACCCGTTGAAAGTTTGGTCTTATTGGAGTTTTGGACTGAAAAACGGAGCGGTTCCCAAACACGTTTGGCATTTTTTTTTAAAACAAAACGAAAACAAGACAAACACACTAACCAAACGCAGCTGTTTTACTATTTCTTCGAGTTGATGCGATGAATATGAGAACGTCACCGGTTTTGAGTTGGTGCCAAATGGGAACTGTTTGCTTTAAGCTTTGCTTTCATATGTTATTGTACATGCTTTTCTTGGTAGCCGTCAGATGCGGAGACGCTTTCAAATACGACAGATGGGGAGGCAAAAAAAAAAAAAAAAATTAATATAATCCAAGATCCATTGCCAGTTTGCCACCCTGGCACCAAAATAAAAATTAAGCAACAAGCCAACCCAAATATTCCAGCTTAATTGCCCCAACCGACGCTTTCAGCCCCCATGGCTGTTAGTAGGCCCGGTTCGGTTCGGTTCCGTTCCCTTCTTTCATCCTTTTGGCGGCAAATCCGGTTCAGTTCCATCCTCAACTAGATTTTTTTCAACCCTAAACCTGTGGGTTATTTTGGTAATTTCCAAAAAAAACGCTATAACTTAATCAGATCACACCAGTGTCCTCTCGTTCACCAATCCCAGATTCACCACCGGAACTCCTCCGTTGCTGAGATCTCCATCTCAATGAACTTCTCTCTCTCTCCTCGCTACTAAAAAGGTCAGTTCTTTTTTATTCCAATTTGCTCATTATATTCATAATTCTCAGCTTCGGTCACGAAAGCCCATCACCAAATCCTCTAGACTGAACTAGATCTACTAACCCATTTCCCCAAAACCCAAAGATCCAGCCCTGAACCCTAGATCCAAACCCACGTCGACGGAAAAGATGGGACCTTGCTCAAGATTTGTCATCTGGGTCATCTCGAATTTCTTAATTCTCCAATCAATTCAAGCCTTTTATCTCCCTGGTAGCTACCCTCACAAGTACCAGACTGGGGATTCCTTATCCGTTAAAGTGAACTCTCTGACCTCGATCGAGACCGAAATACCATTCAGTTACTACTCCCTCCCCTTTTGCCAGCCTCAAGAAGGCATCAAGGACTCGGCCGAAAACCTTGGTGAGCTCCTGATGGGTGACCGAATTGAGAACTCCCCGTATCAATTCAAGATGCACACTAACGAATCCGATGTGTTCCTTTGTCGGTCTGATCTGTCGAAGGACAATTTCAATCTCTTGAAGAAGAGGATTGATGAAATGTACCAGGTGAACTTGATTCTCGATAACTTACCCGCGATTCGATACACCAAGAAGGATGATTACTTCCTTCGATGGACCGGGTATCCAGTTGGGATCAAAGTTGATGATGCTTATTACTTGTTTAACCATTTGAAGTTTACCATTTTGATTCATAAGTATGAGGAGACCAATGTGGCTAGGGTTATGGGGACTGGGGATGCCGCAGAGGCGATACCCAATTTGGAAAAATCGAAATCTGGGTTCGATTTGCCTCCGGGTTATATGGTGGTCGGGTTTGAGGTTGTGCCTTGTAGCCTTCAGCATGATGCGGAGTCGGTCAAGGACTTGAAGATGTATGATAAGTACCCATCGAAAATCCAATGTGACCCTTCAACAGTTGCTATGTCCCTTAAAGAGAACCAACCAATTGTGTTCACTTATGAGTACTCGTTCGTTGATAGTGATATTAAGTGGCCATCTAGATGGGATGCATATTTGAAGATGGAAGGTGCAAAGGTGCATTGGTTCTCGATTCTCAATTCTTTGATGGTTATTGCCTTTTTGGCTGGAATTGTCCTCGTGATCCTTTTGAGGACAGTGAGAAGGGATTTGACTCGGTATGAGGAGCTTGATAAGGAAGCTCAGGCTCAGATGAATGAGGAGTTATCAGGGTGGAAACTTGTTGTGGGTGATGTATTCAGAGCTCCAAGCAATCCAACATTCCTCTGTGTTCTTATTGGTGATGGAGTTCAAATTCTTGGTATGGCATTGGTGACTATCTTATTTGCTGCACTTGGGTTCATGTCTCCAGCCTCTAGAGGAACTTTGATCACCGGAATGCTATTCTTTTATCTCATTCTCGGAATTCTTGCTGGTTATGCTGCTGTTAGGCTTTGGAAAACAATGAGATGTGGGGATCACTCGGGTTGGGTCTCAGTTTCTTGGAAAGTTGCTTGTTTCTTCCCTGGAATCGCTTTCTTTATTTTGACCACATTAAACTTCCTGTTATGGGGTAGTCATAGTACTGGAGCAATTCCTCTCTCTTTATTCGTCATTCTCATTCTCCTTTGGTTTTGCATCTCGGTGCCTCTTACACTTGTTGGTGGATTCTTTGGTGCAAAAGCGGCTCATTTTGAGTACCCAGTGCGAACTAATCAAATCCCTCGACAGATTCCTGCTCAAAAATACCCATCTTGGCTATTGGTTATAGGAGCTGGGACCCTTCCCTTTGGCACTCTCTTCATCGAGCTTTTCTTTATAATGTCGAGCATTTGGATGGGGCGAGTGTACTATGTATTTGGTTTCCTCTTCATTGTGTTGATGCTTCTTGTTGTGGTGTGTGCTGAGGTTTCTTTGGTTCTCACTTACATGCACATTTGTGTTGAGGACTGGCAGTGGTGGTGGAAGTCGTTTTTTGCTTCAGGATCTGTTGCTTTGTATATCTTTTTGTACTCGGTGAACTACCTTATCTTTGATTTGAAGAGCTTGAGCGGGCCTGTGTCTGCTACGCTTTACCTTGGATATTCTCTCTTCATGGCTATTGCTATAATGCTTGCAACGGGGACAGTTGGGTTCATCTCCTCCTTCTGGTTTGTTCACTACCTTTTCTCTTCAGTGAAGTTGGACTGATCTCGTACTATGAGCTATATTGCTGGTGATCAAGTGGAAGGTGAAATATCTATTCTTTTTCGTTAGTTATTTAGTCTGTTCGTCTCTTTACTCTGCTTCATTGGATTTTTGTAGCTTGGTATTTTATACTAGAGAATAATGCCTTTGGCTTCTATTATTCTTTATTACATTAAGATTTATTTATGCTTAATGCCATGGTAAAATGTGAGGTAAAATGTATCGTGTTGTGATTGTTTCGAAATACTGTTTCTTTGTTTGTCCTTAATCAGCATATGACACAATATTTCTTGTCAGATTCTGTAATTGTGAATTGCTGAAATATGCTGTTGTTGTTTTCGAAATACATTAAGATTTATGCTGTTGTTGTTTTCGATGTTTCTACAATTCGTGTTATTTTTCATATACCATGTGCTTTTATTGCAATAGTTTTAAGCCTTTATTTGCTTTTTCATTAAAATATAACCAGACTGCTGCTAAACATCATGATACCAAATTACTTTTTTGTTTTGGGAAAGCCCGGATGAGGTGTTCTTCACTTTTACTAGGTTTAAAAGAAACAAGAGAAGAAATTTTTTAGACTAAGTGTTTACTGAAATGGTTGGATAAGCTTACTATTGTCACGATTTAGTATGGAAATAGTTGGCAAAGGAGCTCAAGCATTTTTAGAGACAATAGCACATAAGCATGAAACTAGTATTGTACAGAATCTCTCTTCAGAAAACTCGATAACCTTTGCTTGCTTTTACAGTGTTTAAAATAGTCTTATCCACGTTGTAATTCCTCGTTGGAATTTTTTTTTTCCAGAACAAAAAATTGATTTCAGTTTATGAATTTTCCTCTTTCACTGCAACTGCCAGAATGTGGTGTCTCCTCGGTCCCCTCCCTGAGAACCACACTTTGTATTCAATTAGTGGTTGCCATTGCATCTGTAATCAGCTGATTGTGTGTTGCTAAGCTGTCTTTGTTTCTTCATTTGATACCATTATCTCTAACTTCATTATCGGCTTTAGCTTCTTGTGCTATTTTGGTTGTATCTAATTCTCAACCATCAAGTTTGATGGTCCTTTCGAGATTTGTTTCCTCTTCAAGGTATGATACAACTTGCCTGCAGGATATAATATCTATACTACTTGTTAAAGCATCGACAATATTTCCGTATGATTGGAAAACAATACCAACTAAAAGGTTGGAAAAACAATAGCAAGTGAGAGGTATTCCAACCGAAGTAGGATGAAGAGGCTTAGAATATCATTACAAATTCTCACCTTTGATTAATTGAGAGTTCGGCTGTTTATAAGAATTCCTTTCACTTACCGTCATGTGTTGTTAGTGAAGAATTTTTTGGATGAAACATTAATAGCAGGCTATATACTAGAGATTTAGTACAGGTAATGCATGTATGATCCTAAATACCCAATGTTGACCTTAGTTGCATCTTTAAGATTTTATCCAAATGTGAATGCAGCAAAAGCAATATGCAGTACTGGTGCATAAAGAATTTTGTATGGTGCTGCGGTATGAAGAAATTTGTATCATATCATTCGATTGATAAAAGATTTATGAAGATGTGTTAGGCCTTCAGGCCTTCTATTTCATTCTACTGATCAAATATTTTCCCTTTCGTCGAACATGATGCTTTTCAAGGGTAGATGGAATCATCTTTACCATTGAGCTTTTCAATTTTTTTAATTGTTTTTTTTAATTTAATTTAATTTTTTTAGAGGAAAAGATGGGGTTACAATTTTAAGTTGGGAAGTTGCAAGACACTGAGAATTTGGGGTTACAAATTTAAGTTGGGAAGTTTAAAGTTTGCTTGCCGGGCCTCTTTTCAATCTTACGTCCTAGCGAGTTATTGCAGTAGCGACATTTACAAAATTACCGTGAGCTTTGTCGAAAAGTTTGATTAGTTTTCGGATTCAGTCAAAAAGTTGCCTTTAGCAGTATTTAACTGATGATATATTTTCTCATAAACCCTCAATTGAAACAAGGAATAACTTTTTAACTTTCTGTGGTTTTGGTCTGTCTGTGTTCAACAACTGAATTTTATTTGCAACTTGGGTACTGGTGAAAATGAAAGTTGAGGATTTTCTCCTCTTTCTATCTTGTACCTACTGACTTTTGTTTGCCATTGCTTTCCCTTCATTGAATACGGTTTGGGAAGAAATGAAACACTTGGTAGAACAAATTTCAAAGAGAGATTTTCTTCTAGCTCACTGATAAATAATTTTCCTCACTTTTGAGCTTGGAAATTATGGAGAAAAATTTGCAGTGTCATCCACTTTTGTCTAGTCATCATTGTCATATTCTCATCATCTCCAACTTCTAACAATATACTCTGTATTAAGAATTGAGTTGATCATGATTGCTTAAGAAACTAACATACGTCTAAAGAAAAGAGTATTAAACTTCATAAAACTACCATAAATATGAGCGGTCATGCAGCGGGCTTTCACAAATCTTGTAGGGAGGGAAAATGTATCACAAACTTTAAAATGTGTGGAAAAATATTGTATACTATCAAAAAATATTGTATACTATTAGTAATCGCGACATCCATCCTTTCTCTAATATTTTAATTATGGTGTGACCTCAACAAACGCATTGAAAGGAATGTGAAATTTTGCAATCCTTCTGCTCCACTTCATGCCTTTTCTAAGTTCTCACGACTCCTAGATAAGAATCTTGAGGATTAATAATTGTCATAACATAAAAATGGACAAAGTTTAGATGCATAACCCTCAAGTTATGCATTAGGAACTAACTAAATTATTCTCTGAAACAAAGTGGACTTTGTCTTAAACAAAAGAACAAGCTATTTTCAAATTTAGGTAGGTAATGAAAATGATCTTCATATGTTTAATACCCATGTGATTGAATATGCTTTGTGAATAGTAGCTGGCATCATTTTCTTTTTTTATGGAGGATTCTTCCACCCTCCTGCAGTTGCAGCTAATGTTATATCCTTTACTTCTATACTGGCCGTTATTCAGCGGGATGCGCATGTATTTTTGGATACTAGTCCCTTAAAACCTTACTAATTTGGAAGTAGCCCCTCAAATTATTGAAATTGCTGGTACGTCCCTCAATGCTAGTATATAAGCGTTACCAAATAAGTTCCTGAAATCATTTAAATCTTTATTAGGTCTTCTATTTCTTATAAATCGTTTCGAATTAATTCCTCCAACCAAGAGTTGCACCGGAGGGTTCAATAGTAAATTCAATCATCTGGTAGGCTAATTTCAAAATTATTAAAGAATCGAGGAGAGGAGAAAAAAAACTTTAATATGTATTTTGAAATTAGCCTGCCAAATCATCGAAATATATTAAAAGGATTCACTCAGTAATCTATCTCCAGCAATAAAACTACAAGCAACCTATACACAACTGTGTGATAGTTCAAGTGGTCGCAACTCCAATTGCTATCAACCCAGCAGAAGTTAAAAAAAAAAAAAGGTGATACAGCAAAACAAACATATGCAACTACAATTATAATCGAAATATATAAAATTGTAAAACTACAATTAATCTCATTACCAAAGCAGAATTACAACAATGGTAAGAACATGCAATTTCAGTTAGAACAAACCGAACAATTAACCCCCAGCTGCGAGCATTTTAGTTAACCTAACCACTTTCAACCTAATACGTGGCATCTCGTTTTGGACATGCATTTGTGATGTCTTAGCTTCTACCAGGGCCGGCCCAAGCTTTTTTGAGGCTCTGTGCGAAATGATAAAATGATGCCCTCTTCTATATAAATGTTGAACTATAAATTTATTGAATTATATTTATTGGTGTGTTTCCTAATAGGGAATAGTTAATTGGGAATTAATGAGTTCAAATTGAATTTCCTAAACTTTAGGAGACAAATGAGCAACTAATCATAATTGTAGTACTAATTGGTGTATATTTCCGGTAAAATGTAAATCAGATGGGTCATGGGTGTTAGGCAGTTAGGCTTAGGCAATGGACATAAATTATTATTTAATTTAGTGGGCTAGTATTAGATTATTAGGCCCTTTTTTAAACAAACAAAAGACTTATTAGAAAGAATTAAGAAATATACTATGGGCATTTTTAAAAATTTGAGGCCCCCTTTGAAATGGGGCCCTGTGCGGTCGCCCCCCTACCCCCCTCTTGGGCCGGGCCTGGCTTCTACAACGCATGTATGGACCTCAAAAGTTGTGTTACTTTCATATGGAGCCCTGATACAAACCCCTTGTGCGATGCACAACAGCACTAAAACTAAAATCAAAACCTCACAAATTAAGCCATGGCCGTCCGCATTAACATAGTGAGCACAATCCTCTCCCTCATCCTCATATGCCAACCTCTTGATCAAGCGTTCTCCCCGATGATTCCAAAAATACTCCAACCCCTTTAGATAAAAAAAAAATTTAGCAAACTAAATGATTTTCAACATTAATGCGGGGATCAACGCATTAAGAATTCCGACGTTTGCTGCAGTTCTTGCGAGCCCTCAGACGACCACTGCGCCGATGCATGCCAGGGTACATTCGAGGATTGTGTCGATCACTGCTCTCCGCCTATTCCCAACAGCGCATTCGCAAATGTGGCCGAACCTGGACCGTAGTTTCTCGTGCCGATGTAACTGCAATACGCAAGGAAATTAATTTCAACGTTGAAAGAGTTGATGGATTCTACATGTGCTGAAATAAAAAAAATATAATGAAGAAAAAAAATAATCTCTTGGGGTATGTATGCACTCGTTGGGTATATTAATGAATAAGAAAATAAATGTGCTACCAAGTTCTTGGAAAGTATATATTAAGGTGAAATGCACCTTGAAGTTAAGGGGATTAAAACTTTTGTAACCCAATTATTGGATAACCCGATCCAAAAAAATGAAACTGGCCAAATTTTGGATTTGGATTCTGAAAATTATGTCTCATAGATTTTTTGAACAAGTATCGCTCTAAATGTTATGCAAGGTGTACGTCTCTTGTAAAATATAAGATTCTGATTTCAATACAGAAGTTTTAATTACCAAGGGTAAATTTCACAAAACCCCCTAAGTTTGGCGGTTTACATTAGGGAGCGATGAGCCCATATCCTCGGATACGATCTCATAAAAGGTAATAAGTGTTGATGTGAACTTTATAATTCTCCTACGTTGCATCTTTCACGCCTCTTTTGACTTGGACTATCACATATAAAATTAAACAAACAAATGTTAGAAGATAGCGTGCTCATTATTCATGGCCTAACGTATACTTGATGGGGAGAGGCACAAATTAACATCATAACCTTATTTCAGTTATTTGACCAAATTCACATATGCATCATTCGTCTTCTCATTTAATTTTGACGGATACAAATATGAAATTTTCTTTTCAAATCATAGTCTATCTGCATTGGTAACTAGGGGCACAATCGGCTCGGATATGATACTTACCATATTCATATCTGCTTACTCATCACAATTATGAATACAAATACAGATATATCTCGGTAAAGGAAACTTCAAATCCATATCTGCTAAAATCGGATACGGATACGAATATACATGCAGATATATATACAAAATGGGTACAAGAAAAGTAAATGATATTGAAAAAATATACTTGATGTGATACAAAAGAGTTCATTAATATGTTCGTTATATCTAAAAAGCTAAGATGAGACATCTTGATCATCAAAATTAACCTCAAAAGCCTTATTTAAGGATTAAACCTATTGTAACAATATGCTCAATATGTATTTAGATATTCCGAATATGAATCCGTATATTTCACTATAAAATCATACCCGTAACTATATCTTATTAGTTATAGATTTGTGTAACTATCCATATAGAATATAGTCACCGATATGTTCTTGGATACATATATGATTTAGCACCCCTATTGATAACTATGAGTAGTTTTAAATAGATGCCAATATAATAACTTCTATATGGTATCAGGATCCAATTCATTTGCACGGTTGCACCCCTAACACAATAGAAATGGATAAGTCAATTATAAGATTGTGTTAAAAAATAACGTATTGATAATCCGTAAAATTGGTTATTACCATTACTTAGTGAAAATTTTCTTACACATGTCCTCCGTGAGAACCCAAAAAAATAGTCCCACATCATTGGATTGTGAGAGGATTAGAGTGTTTAAATAGTGAAATCTAAAGCTTAAGTGTAGCATTGGTCAACCGATTTTGGTAGTGGTGAGATCCAACCAACGCAGTACACTTAGTAGATCCCACAGCTTGCCATGCGCTAACTGGCTTGTGGGCTCGAAGCATGATAAATCGTATCAAAGCAGTTTTTTATGAGTCAAATAACGTGCTACACTCAGTGGGTATGACAATGGGCTCGCTATGTGACATCTTCCGTCCATAAAGTTATATCACTATGAAGACGGACAAAAGATTAGACTTTAACATAATATTGTTTAATTTGTTTAAAAATAACATTTTTAATTATTTTTATATATCAAGCTTCAAAAGTTGACCAAAGAAGAATGTGCTATCGAAAGCAAGGTTTTGATAATTTTGAATCTAGATTAAATTTCAGAGTGGAGTAATTGAAGTCGCCAACTTGACAAAGATGCCTGAATCTTGCAGCTTAAGTGAATTATAAGCTACTAAAATGAAGCCTTGTTTTCATATAAGTATTAATGAATTCAGAAGTTAAAAATGGCTCAGTCGTCAAGACGGCCGCCCTCCCCCCCGCCGCCCCCAAGTTTTGAAAGCATTAATCTAAATAGTGAGAAAGATCCTCCTAAGTTTTCTAAGTTTTAGGGGTTATTAATTAGAACCCCCTAAAGTTTAGGGGTTATCAGAACTCTGCTCCTCTGATAGTGTTAATTTCAAATATTCATATCATTAGATAAAATTATGCTAAGGAATGTTTCTTTCAATGAAAGTTTTACTTGACAATTTTATAGGATTTTCTGATAAAATCTTAAATTTGAATGGGTCTTTTAATAACTCCTTCAATTTAAAGGGATTTTCTAATATTTTGAAAGTTGTGGAAGCTTTAATAGTCCAAAGTTGAAGGGTAAGTTTTCTTATATCTGGCCTTAAAAAATTGGAAAAATATATCAAATTGACATGTTACTGGTTTACTGCATTGAATCTTTGATTCTTTATGCAATTTGGTTACAAACTTGGAAAGTCGTGGAAAGGGGACTTAAGTACAAGAAAGAGAATGTAAGTAAGAGAGTGTAACTATGAGGATAAGATTGATCTAATTATATCTTCAATCTAAAGAGTAATAATAATAATTAACATTTTAAAGACAGAAAGCTAGAACTTCGTATTATTCTATAGCAAGTAGAATCAATATATAATTCATGTCTAGTTGCTGGTTAACTTCCAATTCGAAGTAAACAGAACTGGACCATAAAAAGTAATTGTATATAAAGATTATATTTGTTTATACAACTTAACTAGCTAGATTATTCTTTTTTTAAATATCGAAAACTATCTAGATTATTATACATTTAAAAAACATTAGATGCTGGATACTAAAACAGAAAATGGATAACGAAGGATGTGTATTTTCCCTTTCCATCCATATGACAAAATTTTAATAAAACCATAATCAAACGGCTCAGATAGCTTGTCTTATAAAAAAAAACTCTCAGCTATGAATATGTCTTAGATAACCCCTTAAAATTTCAAAATCGAGAAAATGGCCCTTTAAGTGCTGGAGAGTTGTAGGTAACCCCTCAACTCTGAAGATGTCATTTAAACTCCTTCAATTATAGGGTGTCTCTCCGATTTTTATATTTTTCTCGACAAACTCATTGCATGTGTTGTTAGTTCACAATGCAAATTAACTAAAATATTCTTTTATAGTTGAAGGATACTCTTTCTAAAATTAACCCATCACTTGACTGAGGAAAAATGGTATTCTACCCTAATTTTGACACTAACGTATTTCTACAGGCATCTAAATTTGGAATCAGAAACAACAACAATTTATGTTAATTATCCGTGTACTCATGGATACACTGCAACAAACTCGAAATACGCATAAATAAATTTGCTATCCATAATCAAATATATTATATATCAACGTGATCACTAGAACATTATATTGGTAAGGAACCTCCATAATATATATTATACATCATGTTGTTTTCATTAAACTCAAATGGAACACAAGATATATAACTATTCATAGACATTTAAAAAAATAAAATAGAACATTGTAAATATCTTTTCTTCATCTCTTAATAGTGGATAGTGATTAAAAGATCAATTGCTCTAAAGGTTAAAACCCTTATTACCAAATTTCGATGATGGAAACTATATTGAGCATGAAACTAAACACTTTTAAAAGTTGGGTAACAAAATAATTTCTCTTTGAATAAGAAAACAATAGAGGCATGAGCGAGAGTTAGGTGACAACAGCATCGTGTCATTGAGAGGGAGAGAGAGAGAGAGAGACGGCGGTATCTGGACTCTGCCTACTTAATCCTCTTCATTCCGTAGGAGGTTTGAGTGAAATTGAAAGTACTCCCAGCATAAGCTAAATTTACATTTTAGTCCATAAATATTTCTCCTCTTTGTCTTCCCCTTTCTCTCTACTGTTAATATTAACGGAGCGATGGCCGGAGGAGGGGTGGCGCCGTCAGGGGTGGCGAAGGAGAGGGCGGATCAGTACAGGGGGAGGGTGACGCCGTTTGTTTTGACGGCGTGCATCGTCGCTGCTATTGGCGGTGCAATCTTCGGTTATGACATCGGCATCTCCGGTACGTGGCCCTGTTTTACTATTAGGTCCTTCTATCTTTTCTTAATTTCAGCGAGATAGATTCGGGGAAGCGGGTCCCACGCCTGTTTGTAGTTTTCCTGAAGTCGCCCACGATTGAGCTTTTGACCGTAGAGGCAGGAGATTAGAGATTGGATTTTTTTGGTCTGATCTTTTTGCTATTTGGCAGAAAAAAAGTTACTTTTTGGTAAATGTATAGTAATTTATGGCCGACTATTTGGAGCTTTGAATTCCAACATTTTTCATAGAATAGAAAATTGAAGTAGTCTACTTTATTAAAAAAAGTAACTTATTGGTTGTTAATTGTAGGGTAAATTTCGCCGAAACAAGTTCGGGTTTTCACATAAAACACTACTAGTGTGCATCCCATTTAAAGCACAATCACTATTTTTTTATTTTAACTACAGTAATTCTGTATTTAAATACAGTTTTTGTAAGTGATATAATAACATTTTTTAAATGCTACAGTATTCTGACTGTGTTACAGTCATGATGTTATAATAATATTTTTAAACGTTATAGTTCTGATTGTGCTTCAGTAATTTATTGTGACATGAATAGCGAGCCTTGGATCTTCCTGCCTATGCTACAGTAACAAATGGTACAGTAATTTAATATATAATTTTCTATAGCATAAATAGTGAATCTTGAATCCTCCCATTATTATAGAAGAATAGATAAACTTTACAGACCAAAGTTTTTTTGTTAAACTTTCAAAGGTATACTAAATCACAGAAATTCTCGTAAGCATAAGAAAGTCTAAATTACAATTTTTAAATTTTAACCATATATTCCTGAAAAAGATAATGTATAAGTTATATTTTGTAGCTAGGATTAAAATAATAAAAAATTTCATCTTTGGAGCATAAGAATTGTCAGTTATGTCACTTGAGATAAGCTAGCTCAAGAGAATTTCCAGTAATTTATAAAGTTCAGAGAGGAACCTGCTTCAGAAATTTACCCCTTGACTATTGTATGAGGGCTTTAGGCCTTACTTGTCTCTTGAATGATCAGTTGATTTGTCTTGGCTTATGCTTTGAGCTATATTCAGTTCATGCATATCCTTAAATTAGGGAATTCGTGTCTGCTTATTTCCCTAAACTTTATAAATTAAATCCAATATTTTCGATAATCCAATTCTACTCCATTCCAATTAACTACTAGAGTTAACATATACGGTTAATCATTAGAATTTTATTCTAGTACACACCGATCATTGTTCAAAAAGTATCTCAATTTAATTAAACATGAAATTTTCCATAACCCAATTCTACATTCTGTCAATTCACTAATTGAGATAAATTATTTTGAATGTTTTTGAGTCTATCTTTTCACCATTCACTAATTAACCATGATAAATTAACTATTGAGCTTAAATCTAACATTTTAACACCTTTGAACCACTTCCATAACTCCTATACCAACTTAATTTCTCGATTTAGGAAAGTAATGAATGTGAAGCTTCCACCGTATATATATGTCCCACTCACCCACCATACATTTGTGATTTGGCCTCTTCTCAATTTTAAGACAGAAATAACTCCATTACCAAAGTTGTCAAATGCAATTTTGCCCGATTTCTCAAGTAAGTTTGCACGATTTGCTTTGGGTCCTCATCGCACTCCATATCCCCCGTGGACCCGTTAACAAAACCCAGTGACCCAAAGCGCTTCAATTATTTCCTCATCCTTCGTAAGGAAAATGACTTAATGACCAAAATATGGGATCAATGGAGGAGACAGGTAAGATGTCTCTTCCCTATTGCATAATGAGTTGACTATAGAGAAGGAACATCTCACCTGTCTCCTCTATTGATCCTATATTTTGGGTACCCGTAGCAACACTCCCTTCGTAAAAGCTACGAACTGCGATTAGGACCTCACCACCACTTTCTTCTGCCTACTTATTGAAGTGGCTCCCTATAAATAGAAAATTGATGAGGCCCGTAATTGCAAAATTAGGGTCCCTCTCTCTAGACTCGAACTAGATTTTGTCGTTCTCTCTCCCTCCCCCTCTCTCTCTCTCTCTAACGGCGTGATGGCGGGGGGAGGAGTTGGGGCGCCGCTTGGAGTGGCGAAGGAGAGGGTGGATCAGTACAAGGGGAGGGTGACGGCGTTTGTTTTAACGGCGTGCTTCGTTGCCGCCGTCGGCGGTGCAATTTTTGGTTACGACATCGGGATCTCTGGTACTGGATTCTTTCGATCCCTTATCCATTTTTTATGCAGAAAAGGACTTTATCAGTTCTTTAATGGCATTTCTTAGAAAAAATGGAAAGGTTGCAAATTGGGTAAGAACTAATTGTTTAGGTGATTTTGGCGAGTGACGGGAGGGGATGTGTGGAATCTTCACACTGTTGATTTTATTACCGGATATTCAAAAGCTTTCACGATTCGAAGAAAAGATCAGATGTCTACGTGGCAAATCATGTGCCGTGAGTTTGTACCCACACAGTGTCTAGGAATTTGACTCGTAGCGCATGGTGGGCCCATGTGTTGATTTGTGGATTGTTTGCGCTTAAATACCCGAAAGTGTTTACTCATGAGCATGGCTAAATATGGGACCATTAGAGGGGACATATAAGATGTTCATTTCCTATTGCATAATGATCAGTTTATTATGCAATAGAGAGGCAACACCTCACATGTCCCCTCCATTGGTCTCATATTTTGGGTCCTTAAATATTTTTCATTCGTATAATCAAACAAAGGGGCGGACTACGAAGAACAATTTAGGAGAGGACAAAAAAAATCTAAATTATTGAATGGTGAACAATGCCTGCTACCTAACTAGTCATGGTAGATGGTAGGCTTAATTAGTTCAACATGGAATCATGGACACTATGGTTTGGTCTACTTCACATCAGAAAAACAGTAAAAATAAAAGAAAGAAGTTTCTCAATTCTTCTTAATATGGCAATGCTATGAAGTGTGGAAATATCAAAAACCATATTCTAATAGAACTGATACTAAATAATAATAATAATAATACTAATAAAAGTTCTTAGAAATAATTTTTGCCATGCATCCCAAGATTAATAGTTGGTTTGATCGGTATAAAATATTAAAGATTAAGTTGAAATTACTTTAACGTGTGAAAAAATAGAAATTTTCTCCGGTACATAACAACAACTACTTGAATACAACGGTCAGAATCCAAGATTTCCCCCCCTTGTATTAGTAGATTTTGCATGTTTTCATCTAAAATATATCTATTGCATATACCTCTGCTTCCAGATTTTTGTTCCGATTATTCTTCGAAAAATGCATTGACAATTAACTGAATTTGTTGAGTCAAACTTAACGCAGGAGGTGTTACATCAATGGATCCATTCCTCAAGAAATTCTTCCCAGTTGTATACCGAAAGAAGAACAGTCCATCGAAGAACAACTACTGCAAGTATGACAACCAGGGATTATCGGCTTTCACCTCCTCCCTCTACCTTGCAGGTCTCGTTGCATCCTTAGTGGCTTCTACAGTTACCAGAAAATATGGTCGACGGGCTAGTATTATTTGCGGTGGTATCAGTTTCATGATCGGAGCTACACTGAACGCTGCAGCACAAAATCTCGCCATGCTTTTGCTCGGTAGAATCATGCTTGGTGTTGGAATCGGCTTTGGAAATCAGGTGATTTGATGCCCAGGATGCTTTTTTCAATGGTTCAAAGTAAATGGTATTTAGGATTTGGAAGCGTCTACTATCAAATTGTGCTGCAGAAAACTTTTGAAACTGTGGAAATAATGGTGTCAAGGGTAAACTCACCCCTGAAGTAGTAATAACATCAATAAAGTTTGAAAGTAGTTCATTTGGAAAACAGATATATATCCATCACCTAGGTGGAATTGAATTTGGGAAGTGAAGAAATTTAGACTGAAAGTTTCAGTCTTATATTTATATGCCCTGAAGTTTAGAGATGTTTTAGGCAAACAGTAACAATTTAGGAGTATACTCACTAATTTTATCCTCATTTCAGCAATGGTGATATTTTCAACATATATTGAGAAGTGTCATCTCTCTCTATATTTTTCAATTTGCATATTTGCATTTTTCTTAATATTTTGCAACCTGAACCGAAATAGGTGTTCGAATTTGAATGTATCAATATTGTACAACCATCAAGCTGAGGGAAAAATCTTATAAGGGGCATTCTGCGTAAAATCATACAGAGAGAAAGGAGAATATAACATGCACTCCAGCACTGATCTAAGTTAGCGATTGCACTACTGATACAATATTGATGATTGCACTTATACATTATTCTGATTGTACTAATATTGAGTACAATGATACTGTATACCGATTGGACTGATTTAGTAGTTTTAACAATTTCCCCTCCTTAATCTTTCACAGGCCGTTCCCCTCTACCTATCGGAAATGGCCCCTGCGCACCTTCGCGGTGGCCTGAATATGATGTTCCAACTCGCCACCACCCTGGGCATCTTCTCCGCCAACATGATCAACTACGGCACTCAAAAACTCAACCCCTGGGGCTGGCGCCTCTCCCTTGGCCTCGCAGCGGTCCCCGCGTTCCTCATGACACTGGGCGGACTCCTCCTCCCCGAAACCCCCAACTCGCTCATCGAACAAGGCAACCCCCAACTTGGCCGCAAAGTTCTCGAGAAAATTCGCGGCACCTCTGAAGTTGATGCCGAGTTTCAGGACATGACCGAGGCCAGCGAGCTCGCTAACTCGATAAAACATCCTTTTAGGAACATCTTGGAGCGCAGGAATAGGCCGCAGCTGGTGATGGCGATATTTATGCCAACATTTCAGATACTTACAGGGATCAATTCGATATTGTTTTATGCGCCTGTGTTGTTTCAGAGTATGGGGTTCGGTGGAAACGCCTCGTTGTATTCATCGGTGATGACTGGCGCGGTTCTGGCATTGTCGACTCTGGTTTCGATTGCGACCGTGGATCGGTGGGGACGGAGAGTGTTGTTGATTGCTGGAGGGATTCAAATGATCATTTGCCAGGTAAAAAAATGTATAAAAAAATGTACTTTGAATAGAAATGCATTGCAATCTCAGTTCAGTAGAACAAGTATATACCTGAGTTTATCTGAAGCTCAATTATCTTTAAAGCCTTTACCGTCAAAATGAGAGAGCATTTTTAAGGAGAAATTTTCAAAATAGACCCATTTATAATTTTATTCCCCAAAATAGTCTCATTTCAAATTTATTTATAAAAATCGATCTATTTCGGGCACTTTCGCAACGTGAGCTGAAACTGGATTGATTTAAAAAAAATGCTTCTTTTTAATTAGTCGGGCTTGTCAACCCTAACTAATTAAACACTACTTTAATTACACGGGCTAGTAGCGAGGGTTGAAACTATTGTTCAAAATAGTCATGATTGCTATCACCGACTATTTAGAAGGTTAATTAACCATGTTACTAATTAGTTGGGTGTGGCGACCCCGACTAATTGGAAAGAAATCTTTTGACCTAGTTAAAACTAGGTCGATTTCTGTGAATATGTTTGAAATGGGTTGATTTTAATGAATAAAGTTATAAATGAGTTTGTTTTGAAAATTTCTCCTATTTTTAACCAAAAAACTATATATCAATAAGAGACGGGATAACTAGTAAGAATGGCAATAACTGTGGTATACATTCAGTATTATTTCATTATTACTACTAAAGTAACTATGTAGAACATTGTCTGAGCAATGCAGACTAGTACAATTAACATAAGCATTCTAGTAAAATTGAAGTATTCCCAATTCTTTTTTAACCAGTCAGTTCTAGTTACTGTATATTGTATTTGATACTATTTTAATATTATTACTAGAATGAAACCATAAGATAGACCAGATCATTTACTCTTATTAATTTCAAAACAAAATAGAGAAATCTATGTAACTCTTTGTTGGGATAGGAAAAACCCGGGGTGGCACTAGGGGCACACCACCAACCACAAACCCAACCACACCCTCTCTCTTATTTGCTACAGTGCACCGGATCCCACATAGGATTTTAAAATTTTAAAATCTCATGTGGGGTCCGGTGCACTGTAGCAAATGAGAGAGAGGGTGTGGTTGGGGTTATGGTTAGTGGTGTGCCCCTGTCATTTTCCTTTCAGTAGGGCTAAATTCCACATCATGCCTATTTTTGCACAAAACCCCACACTTGATCGAGTGGATTTGACACTCTCTTCGATCACACTCTTGTACATGTACAAGATACAAGTACACTTGCGATCTTTCCCAGCGTGAAGCTTTTCTACTTCTTCGTGTCACAGGTGATCGTGGCAATCATACTCGGCCTAAAATTCGGCCAAGACAAGCAGCTCTCCAAAGAATTCTCCGTCACCGTAGTCGTCGTGGTCTGCCTCTTCGTCGCCGCCTTCGGGTGGTCGTGGGGCCCGCTCGGATGGACGGTCCCCAGCGAGATATTCCCGCTGGAGACACGGTCAGCGGGGCAGAGCATCACCGTGTCCGTCAACCTCTTCTTCACTTTCGTCATCGCCCAGTCCTTCCTCACCCTCCTCTGCTCCTTCAAGTTCGGAATATTCCTCTTTTTCGCGGGTTGGATTACCGTAATGACTGTTTTTGTGTATGTTTTCTTGCCGGAGACGAAGGGGGTGCCGATTGAGGAGATGGTGCTTCTCTGGAGGAAGCATTGGTTCTGGAAGAAGGTTATGCCTCCGTTGGTTATAGAAGAGGGGAAGGATGTGGGGGTTGAGGTGAGGGAGTTTTAGAGAGGTGATAATTAATTGCTGGTTGTTGTAGCGAGGTTTCGTGTGTGAGAAAACAAAAGCTGAAATGGAATGAAATACTACAGTTGACATTCGCATGACTAGATCTGATAATTAACCATTACTACATGGTTGAGGTGGTTCGAAATAGAACCAGTTTAGTTTTCATTTTTTGCCTAAGAAAAACTTGGCCACCTTCTCCTCAAAATCGGACTAGGTCTGAATGTGACCAAATTTTGAGAGAGAGCCAAATTGGCCCTAACACCCCCTTAAGTATTGATGAAGTCACAACTTGCGCCTAAAAGTACCAATTTGCCTATTTTATTATTTATACCATGTTTGCTGTCCAATGCGGTCCTTTTATGAAACAACCATTAAATACTTAACGAAAATTTTAAAAACTTCAAACATCCTCCAGAAACGTTTGAAATTTATAACAAACACCTTAAAATAAAACTAAAAAATTACAAGTAACACCACAAAAATAAAAATTATAAATAGCCCTACAAAACTATGAAAATTACAAACGCGCACTGAATATTTAAAATTTGCAAAAAAAAACACTCCAAAAAATTTGAAATTACAAAAAACATCTTGAAATCTAAAATTTACAGATAGTCCTTTAGATGTTTGAAAAATTACTAATGGGCCCTAAAATTTTTAAAATTTATAAAAAACCATTAAAATTCTAAAAAATTTAAAAAATCCCTAAAAATCTAAAAATTACCAACAACCCCTTGAAATTTTTCCAAGGGGTGGTTTGTAAGTTTTGGATTTTGAGGTGTTTTTCATAATTTTCAGATCTTTAGTTTGTTTTTTGTAAAATAATAATCTTCCATGGTTTTTTGCAGATTTCATATCCTCAAGGGGCTATTAGTAAAATTTTAAAATATATGGGTTTTTCTTGTAATTTTGAAAATTTTAGCGTGGCTTGCATAAAATTTAGATTTTTTAAGGTTTGTAAATTTAATATTTTTAAGGGGCTATTTATAATTTTCAAGGTGTTTTTCAATTTCTAATTTTCAAGGTATTTTAATAATTTTTAAATTCTTCTAGAGTTGTTTGTAAATTATAGAAAAGACCCTAAAATGATATGCTACGTCACGCTTTATTAAGCATTTATTGGTTGTTTCACAAAAGTATTGCATTGAGCAAAGAAACATAGCATAATGAGGAAAGTAAGCAAATTGATGTTTTATGAGGTCAAGGTTAGATTTCGAATAACACTTTAATGTGGAGTTAGTCATTTTGTCCCTCCTCAAATGTAGTAGTTTTTCTTGCGAGTGCAGATCCCATTAAAACCATTTCTGAAGGAGAGTGGTACAAGACTGATTGGCAACCACTCACAGATAACATGCACAAGAAATTGGCTACATGGAAGAAAAATTGTTTATCTTTTGGTGATAGACTTGTGCTCTTAAATTCAATTCTATCTTCAATTCCATTATATTATATGTCTTTTTACAAATTGAGAAAAAATTTCCTCTGGACAGAAACGGCTGATACAAATGCTTTCAAATGTTTGATTAATTGGAAGAAAGTATGTTTGAGTAAATATGAAGGTGGATTAGGAGTCAAAAATCTATCTGCATTCAATGCTTCTCTTTTAGCCACATGGCTCTGGAAATATTTGGACAACAATTCTACAAGTGGTGTATTTCTTAGACAACTTTATTTGGACAGGAATTCATGCATTCAAAATTCCAGAATAAATCATTCTAATTTATCTTTCTGGAATGAAATTATCTCTCATAATGAAGCTTTCTTTCATCATGTTATATGGAAGTTTGGTTCGGGAGAAAAAAAAATAGGTTTTGAGAGGATAAACGGCTTGGGTTAAACTCCTTAGCTAGCTTATATCCTACACTAAATAATTTATCACTCTCTACCAATGTGTCTATCCGTAGTCAAGGATTTTTCCACAACAACTCATGGATTTGGCATCCTTTGCTTAAGAGATGTATATTGTGAACGTGAAGTACATGGGGCCCACCCACGTAACCTCAAAACTCTCCGCGTGAAGAGAGTTCACGAGCCCACAAATGACCGCTTTTTCGTTGCAAACATAAATGAAAATAGCCCACCCGAAGTCACATCTGAACTTTATAAATACCCTTCTAGGGTTTCGTGAAGGATTGTGCAAGAGCAGGCTTTGGAGAAAAATCACAGGGAGTCTTTTCTTTTGGTGGCTGCGTGTGCAGGTGTGCAGGAGTGCAGGAGTGCAAGCAAGAAAAATAGCGTCTGCAACAGGGAAAAGTCTTAGGGTTTTGTGAAGAGAGAAAAAGGCTTTTGGAGTCTGACTTTTTCTTGTGAAGAAAAGCAAGGAGCCTACAAGAAAGTTTAATTGTGAGAGTTGTAAACCTATTTGTATTCTTTTTTTTCTAATAGTAGATCTCCCTCTCCTTGCCCCGTGGACGTAGGTAGTTTGCCGAACCACGTAAAAATTGGTTTGTTTGTGTTTGTGGCCATTATAATAGTTTTTAAGATCTCTCGACAGGTCAGTCCTAGAACTGATGAGAGGAAGAGCCGATATCTTACTTTGTTTTGAGATATTCGCTTCAGATTCTTATTTCTTTGGTGAGACAAGAATTCTTATTGATCTTTCTCTCTTATTGTGCACCAGAAATTTTGTCGAAATTTTCGCTGCGCAAAACAAGTGGTATCAGAGCCCAGGTTCCAGATCTAGGGTTTTGTCTTGGTTGGAGGAGTAGATCAATTTGGAGGCTCGTCTAGGGCTTCATTTGGTGATAAAGGTGGGATCTTTTGGTAAAGACTCTATCTTTTTAATTTTGGATCTATTCTTCATTCGTTAGTGCATTGAGAAAGATATCGGGGAAAGAAGGTGCTTCGGGTGTCGAGGGTGGTGCTTCTGGCGCAAAGACCATTCAGAGTTTGAATATCCACTCTATAAAGATAGATGTGAAGAAATTTAATGGCACAAACAACTTTGGATTATGGAGATGCGAGGTTTTGGATGCGCTGAACGCGCAGAATTTGGAGGATACATTGGAGTTAGATGGTAAGCCAGATGACATTGAAGAGAAGGTTTGGAAAAAGATGAATCGAACGGCGTGTGGTGTGATTAGGTCTTGTTTGACTCAAGATCTAAAATATGATGTGATGAATGAGACTTCTGCAAAGAAGATTTGGGAGATTCTCGAAAGCAAGTATCTGACAAAGAGTGTTGAGAACCGCTTGCATTTGAAGAGAAGACTTTATCATTTCCAGTTGAAGAAGGGAACCTCAATTAGAGATCACATGAACACCTACACAAAGCTTCTTGCGGATTTGGCAAATGTGGATGTCATGATTGAAGATGAGGACAAGGCGTTGCTGTTGTTGAGTTCCTTGCCCGAAGAGGAATATGAGACCTTCGTTCTTACTCTGATTAATGGGAATGCATCTCTTTCATATAGTGAGGTCACTGCTGCACTAGTGAATTATCAGCTTCGGAAGAAGGATAAGGAGACTTCGACTGAGTCGGTAGCAGAAGCGTTGGCCGCAAGAGGGAAGAATCTAAACCGGAAGAATTGGAAGTCAGAGTCTAGAGTAGGGCATCCTATAATTAGAAAAGATCAGTGTGCTTGGTGCAAGGAGACTGGTCATTAGAAGAAAGACTGCCCAAAGCTCGACGAATGGATGAAGAATAAGCAGAAGGGAAAAGGGAAACAACCATCATCAGAAGCAAACATCGTATCGGACGATAATATTTCTGACTCTTCTATTTATTCGCTTTCTATCAGTCCTACATGGAGCTATTCGGAGGAATCCGAGTGGATGCTGGATAGTGGTACGACCTATCATGTGTGCCCTAGAAGGGAATGGTTCTCTAGTTTTGAGAAGCTGGTGGATAGTGGTATGGTATACATGGCTGATAATCGTGCATGCTAGGTCCTTGGGATAGGAAGAATTCGCATAAAAATATTTAACGGGACTGTTAGGGAGTTAAATGATGTGAGATATGTTCCTTCTTTGAGGAAAAACTTAATCTCGATTGGAGCTTTGGTTGGAGAGGGTCTGTATGTTTGAATTGAGGACATGGTTCTTAAGATTGTGAAAGATTATCGGTTTGTGATGAAGGGCGTCAGGAGGAATAACCTGAATTACTTGACTGGAAGTATAGTGGCAGGTGGAGAAGTGGCGACTTCTATTGATTCGACTAGACTGCGGTATTTGGGGCTTGGTCTTTCCAGTATTGATTCCTCGCATAAATTGAAAGAGGATGCGAAGACTTACAGTTTGAAGTCCAGTGAACATATTGATGTGAGCAAGAAGACCGAGGTGAAGTTTAGCACCTCTATTCACCGCGTTAAGGGTCATTCTGGAGGAGTTCACGTGGATGTTTGGAGGCCTTCCAAGGGAGCATCATTGGGAGATAATAGGCGTTTGGTTTCCTTTGTTGGTGGCTGTTCTGTTGGCCTTCTTGTTTTGATGATGTTTAACAAATAATTTACTTCTAATGTTGTTTGTCTAGTGTTTGTGTTTTCGTATTTTTTTCTAGGCAAACAACGTAGTTGGAGGTTGGATGGATTGAGCCTACACGATCATATCAAGAGGAGGTTGGCGGAATAGTGGAGTGAAGCAATGCACATTCAAGTCAAGATCCAAGTTCAAGCTTCATCCGTAAGATTACCAAGAAGAGCTTCATCGAAGATCAAGATAGCTTGGGTAATTTAGTTTTAGGTTTATACTTGTGTGTAGATACTTTAAGCTCATATATTAATCACACACACGTATTTGTTGATTTTGTTGAAATATAGGTGTTTTTGTGAAAATATTGTTTTATTTGTTTATAGACTTTAATATCAGTTTATACATACTTTATTAAGTCTATAAAATCACTTTATAAAGTTTCAAAACATGGTTTAGTCAAATGACAAAAACAAGTGCGTTTACATTTATATGTTTTGGACTATTTTGCAAAATAATGATATTTTACAAATGTGAAGTGTAATTCTAAAAATTCTTTTTGTAATATGTTCATTAACATGTTTATAAACATTCCCCAAAATTTTACATTTTTTAGAATTTATTTACTATTTTTAAAGGCACTTCAAAAATAGTTTTTCTATTCAAAACAGGCTGATACAGTGTTATCAGTCGACTGATGGAAGTTATCAGTCGACTGA